GCTACAAGATAGAATAAATATATGTCAACAGTTTTTACCAACCATACGACAAAAGTACAGACATCGGTGTCTTGTTTTGTTATCGTCATGTTGCTCTTATGTTGCCGAAAACGAATGATAAAGCAAAGAGTTTTCTATAAATTAAAGTCATTTTGTTGACAACGTAATGAGCAATAGTTGCTCTTTGTTTGCTCTGAATCTGCTGACACAAAATTTCTTAAATTTGCCTTCGTGTTGTCGATTACGTATGACTATGCATCATGTATTCAGCAAATACACAGCAACTAGTTGAAAACTTCAGCTCAGCATTAAGTTACATGATTTTGCAAAACATGCTTGGCTATCAGGGTACTTATACATAGCCAGTCTTCATAATCCGTTCTTATTTTAACATTATCTTAATATTCTTTTATTTGCTAATATCTTTTTTGTGACATTTTAAAACTATACTTAAATAATGTTAAATATAAAACCGAACTATGAATACCTTACTCAACTATAGTTTTACAACTTATCAATTAGTTTACTCATTATATCTTTATATACATCAATTGTTGCCCTTGATTCAGATATAGTCTCTCTGTGACGCCGCTCCTTCGCTTCTTCTCGAGCTTTTGCATCGGCAAGAAGAACAGCGGACCAGTTTTTCAGTTCGTGTTGAAGTCTGGTCATCTTTCTTCTTTTTCGCTAAGGAGTTCTTTCATTCTGAGTTGATGAAGAATTTTTATTTAAATCTTCTGAATCATTTGATTCTTCAAGTGACACTGGCATGGTCTTCAAAAACAAAAGAATAAGTAACAGTATTTCTTTGTTTTATGAGTGTTCTTTCACAAAGCATAGAGTAAATATTTTGGCATATACAAGAAATACTAATGTCAAAAATACTTACATTTATTCTCTTTTTGTTGAGATTTGAGGCAACAGCAATGTTTAATACACGGCTTTTCACTCAACATTTCTTCTAATTCTTTGTAAAACTTGCAGGTTTTAGGTTCATTCTCAGAAGTGTTATTATAATCCTTTGTTTCTGTGTATTTTCTCTTAATATCTTTCCACTTATTTTCACATTGAATAGTTGTTCTTCTATTCAGGATTGGCCTCTTTTAATTTATTACTGATTATAGTCCACACATCTTGACTCTTCATAGTTTTGAAATGTTTTTGGTGATTGTTCCAAAGATGGATAAGGCATTTTACTTCGTTGTCGTCTTTCCAACATGCTGTAGAAACTGTAGAAAGTGTAAAAGTTGTATTAACATTAATATTTCTTGAATAAACAAAATACTTTGTTTTATAGAAGAATACTCAGAAAATAAAGGAAAACTTTTACCTGTTGTCTCATTTTTGAAAACCATATCAGTATTACTTAAAATATTGTGATCTATGGCTGATTCCTCACTAACTTGCAAATTGAAGAACTTCAATGTGTTTTTACATATAGGTACATCAAAAATTTTGTTCTCTGCAAAATAAAATAATAATTACATTTTTAATGAACAATAATACATAATTTAACATTGTAAAAGAAATATTGTTTCAAATCTATTACAAGTTTTATTCTCAATATGTGCTTTAATACATATTGAAAAGGAGATTTATAGTAGATTTTAAACAATATTTGTACAATTTCTATTGATATAATTTAATGCCAATATTAATAATAATAACTCACCTTGCACATCTTGCACAAATAAATTTCCGTTAGAATTAAGCAAGGAAAAATCACCATTCATTACGACTTTATGCCGTCCTTCTATTAGTTTTATATTAGTATCATACAATTTTTGCATTTTGTATGACAAGATTATGATACAGATTAATAATGAATTATTATGATACAGGTTAATAACAAAAAGGTTATAACGCAGCTTGACTAAACTATAACACATCGACTTCCACCGACTCCCCTTGCTTTTTTGGCGGGTGGTTTTGTGGCACACTGGTGGTACTTGTTTAACTTTTTCGAACGATCCACCCAAACATACACTGAGCATAGTTGCAAACTCGAGCCGGCTAGCACCGAGAGCACCGAGGTGTTGGGAGCCACTAGGAACACGCACACAAGCGAGAAGTCAGCTTCAGTGTGTGTTCCACGCACACGGACGGCGGTTCTCGCTTGTGTGCGTGTTCCCAGTGGCTCCCAACACCTCGGTGCTCTCGGTGCTAGCCGGCTCGAGTTTGCAACTATGACACTGAGTACCATTATGTGTTTCCGAACGACTTGTGTGTGTCAGTGTACACTCCGTGAGTGTTTGCGAACGCAGCCTGATATGTGGACTTTGTGCGTCTCTCTTTCTCGGGCCTTGTGCCACGTGCCTCTCATTGCGAAGATACGCGATTAGCGATATATTAGTATTATATATATTGGCCGCTCTCAGTTTTCTCTCTGTATATATTCATACAAAAATGGGAATTATGAAAGAATGGTCTAGACGCAAGTTAAAATGTGCAAGTCAGGCAGAAATATTGCGATCTCATCAACGAGATGATAATTTTGTAAAATATCTAAAAAAGAAAATGTATGAGAAAATACTGCAGAATTATGAAGTAAATAGAACATTGCTTTACTATATTCGATCGGACATTCCTTTCAAGTTAGTCTATTTTACTTTCACATCAGGTTTAGGCAATCAAACACTGGGTGAAGAATATACTGGCATAGTACAAACTAATTTAGAGAAACATAAGGTTCCAACGCTAATGGTATGTTTTGCTTAAAAAAAATTGCATTTAGTTTATATATCTGTAATTTTGAGAAAATTTTGAATTGGTTTTCTTCTTTAGGTAAGAATATTTGGTGCAATTTTGGAATATCTAGGAGAGGAAATATTACTTACATTAGTGGAACAATGCCAAGCACATGTAAATCATTCACACAACAACTTAACATCAACAGCAATAACATTTTTGAATTTATTCTTATCTAAATTGCATATAATGACACCTATAATTATATTGTTTCACAAAGGAATATTTTATATAAATGGTAGATACTATAGTTTGGGTAGAAGAATCACTAGATTAGATTATTCAAAGGTAAATTAACAGAATATGAGAAAGAAAACATACTTTATAATATTGCTACATAATTTTGTTTATGATCTATTTAAAGGTATATGGTTATCAATCAGTGAATGCTATTAGCTGGGGATTTAGATTATTAGGAATTGCTACCTTGATACAGTGTCTATTGAGAATATGGCAAACTAATATGATACAAGACAATACTATCGCAAGTATATCTAATGAGAAAAGTAATAATCAGAATTGTCGATTGTGTTTTGAAGCAACAGCAACAACTGCAACAATATGTGGACATCTATTTTGCTGGAAATGTCTTAGTGAGTGGTTACGTGTTAAGCCACAATGTCCATTTTGTAGAGACTATGTTTCTTTATCAAGAATTGTACATATGACAAATTTATGATTTCTTGTAAAACTGAGAAAAGTGATTATTGTAAAACTGAGAAAAGTGATTATTTATATAAACATAAGTAAAACATAGATTGATAATGGCTTTTGTAAGGCTTTATCTACAAAAAAAACGAGTCAGTCTTGAATATACACCCAACAAGACAACATCACAGTCGACTAGTTTCAAATTTTATGACTATTATCTAAACTACCACAGATGTGAATGAATTAATCGATTAAGTATCAATTAAGTATCATTGAAGAAAACTAAAATACATAGGTGAAACGTTTGGGACAATAATTACCAAAGCTATTTATTTTGCACAACATCCTGCATTCCAGTTCAGTTACGCTTTATCACCTCATTCTATTTGGATTTTCCACACTGAACTAGAGGTCATCATTCTCTACATTGTCTATTTATTTAAAAAAAACGATCTTAAAGATTAGAAACTTAATAATTAATATTACAGTTTATGTTTAAGAAGCATACCAGATAACATCTTGTTTTATAAACTTACTATTTCAATCATTAAGAAAACTACATTTCTAGAGTTTTACTTTAAATTTAGACAAAATACGAAGTTCTGGAACATTTTTGAGAGCATTTTATTTATACATTGTTTGAATGATAATTTTAAACACGTTTTTTCTTGAAAAATTAATTAATTTTTCAAGAAAAAACGCGTTTCCAAATTAGGTAAATATAGGGGAAAATGATTTCGACCTTGACATATATTGTCAAAGACACTCTCCTGAGTAACAAAAGATTTTAACCGTTGCTCATTGTTTATTAAAATGTTATTATTAGCAAAACATGTTTAAAAAAATAGTACGTATTTTTAGTAATAACATGTAAAATAACGAAATAGAATACACATTTGTCTCCACTTATCATTTTTGAGAATATTCTGAATTTGCTGATCCAATTATACATAATATCCCAGCAAACACAGATATATATAACTGCAATATTGTCGTAATAAAATGGAATGTAACAAGTAATATATCATGTAAGTTGCATGTAACATCTATGTTAGTTGTTTTTTCCCACTTATTGTGTATAGCAGTTATATAATATGAATATAACGTGTAAGTAGAATCTCCGATAGCCAAATGATAGCAGTATGCCAGCAGTATGCACACGCAGGTTTAATCAGCACTTTGCAGCAGATTTAACTCAGCTGTGTCATGATAGTGAGTGAATTATGTAGGCACGATATGTAAAGAAAATAACACAGCAAAAATATAGAAATAAATGAAGAATGAAATGACAATAGCACGTTATGCTCCAAATCTGCTACATTTTTTGAGCAAGTTCTGCTTGATTGATGCAATAATATTTGCATCACGGCATGACACATTTATATTGTCTTTTTTTTCTGTTTTTCTGTCGACACTAGTTGAAATAACAGATTATGTTTGAATGCTGGCTACATTGTACTGGCATACTGTGTTATTGCAGACTTTGAAAAAGTCTGCTCATTCAGTCTTGGTTATCTGAGAATGTTATATAACTGTTATACAGTTACAGAAATGTTATATGACAGTTATAATGTCATTACTAGCTAATAACAAGCAATATAATATGTATATAACAATTATATTACAATTATAAAACAAAGTTATATATAAAATCGATGTTAATAGAGTATAACAGCTGTTATATTACGAGTTACTTCTATGTTATATAGCAGTTACATTCTGTGTTTGCTGGGAATGAGCTTTAAATCTTAGTTTGTCATCAATAATTATATCTACATATTTCATTGTTTCTACACGCTCTATCTCAATACCGTCCAGACATTTCAGTGTAATACCTCTCAATTCTTTTCTTATACTTCTAACTATCATAAATTTCGTTTTTCCCGTATTCATTTTTAGCTTCTTTATATTCATCCATTGCTCGACTACATTGAATGTTATATTCAATTTACTCTCTAAATCCGTGCTACTTTCTTCACTTACGCATAGTAAGGTGTCATCAGCAAACATTTTTATACATACTGCATCATTCTGGACAGATTTTGATTATATCATTTATATATACTATAAATAATAAAGGTCCCAGTACTGATTTTTGTGGTACTCCATATTCTGTTGTTAGTAATCTAGACCACTTATGATTAAATTGCACTTGCTGTTTCCTATTGCTTAGATACGATTTAAGCCATTCTAAGACCACTCCTTTAATTCCATACTGATACAAATTTCCCTAATAATCTTTCTCTATCTACCCAGTAAGCAAAATGCGCGCAATATGCCAGCAGATTGGCAACAGATATACTAAAAAGTTGCGAGCAAATTGGCATCTGTTATGTCCGAATTAGGCTTACGATCTGCTAGCAAAGCCTGCTCACAGAATCTGATAGCAGATTGATAGCAGAAACCGAGCAGAATCTGCTAACATGACTTAACATCAGATTGTCGGCAGAAACCGAGCAAGATCTGCAGCTTTTAGCGATTCATAAAATGGTGCATTTAAAGAATTTCAATATTATTTTTATATTTTTTTAATGTAAAATAAGTAAACAATTTAAAGCAATATTTTTATTATATAATTCTTACAATGATTTTTTTACATATTATTGCGCGTTTTCAACTTATCTACTAAATTATAATTATGTATAAAAAAATTATACATAGTCATACACTAAAATTATATATAG